CTGCTGCAGGAAGCTTAAACTTCCTGGTAAGAGTTTCTGTAATTCTTCTGAGACACTTGTGTCATGAAACATTGTGTGATATGTTAATAAATTGTGTCATCTTGTGCAACTGGAATAAGTATTAACAGCAGTTTTGTAATTTTAATTTAAAAATTATACACCATTTTAATATTAAATCATAAATGAAGGAATTACAGAATCACAGAATGGTAGGGGTTGGAAAGGACCTCTGGAGATCATTGAGTCCCAACCTCCCTGCCAGAGCAGGGTCCTCTAGGGCACGTCACACAGGAACGTGTCCAGGGGGTCTTGAAAGACTTCAGAGAGGGAGACTCCACATCATCTCTGGGCAGCCTTTCCAGTGCTCTGTCACCCCCTCACAGTAAAGAAGTTCTTCCTCATGTTGAGGTGGAACTTCGTGTGCTTCGAGTTTGCATCCATTGCCCCATGTCCTGTCACAGGGCATCACGGAAAAGAGACTGGCCTCTCCTTCTTGACACCCACCCTCAGTTATTTATAGACATGAATAAGATTCACTCTCAAAAGGAATTAAGAATGTCTGCATGTTCTATATCCGTATGCACAGCATTTGAGGAAGGTAGATTGATCAAGACTTGAGAATGTACAGTAAAAAATGAGAAAGGATCCTAGAAAAAGTAAGGAAAAATGTCACAGTGATTGCAAACCTTTAGGCTTATCAAACAAAATGGGGCTTTTATTTGTTTTTAGGGTTTAGTTTGGGGTTGTTTTGTTGTTGTTGAGGATTTTTTATTTGTTGTGTTTGGATTTGTTTTGTTTTTTTTTTAATTTGTCTAAGATTGCAGAAATTCATTCTGTTAAAAACTTTCAATTCCAGATATTTTTGCTGCATGGACTAAAGTACAAACCTTGAAATTGTTTCTCTGTATCAGGCTTTTAGACTCCAGGAGAACAACATAAGGAACTTGCATGATTTCTGCCTCTCTGACACTTCTCTTCCAGGTTGTTTCTCACATGAAGAGAGAGAATTTTTTTTTTTAATTTGAGTTGTGAATTCCAGGTAATCTCAAAACACATCATGGAAGGATCTGTTTTCCATGGAAAGTAGTCTCAGTACTTGCTATAAAATACATACATTAAAATTTCAATCTCTTTTAAAGCAGAGCTTTAGACTTACTACATGTATGAGAAAGACACCCTTTTTTGACACAGCACATGCTGAGGAATTCTCCTTGGACTACCTGTGCAAACCCAAGCTTTTGAAAGACTTCTATGCCCCATCCATTCTACTGGCTTAATAATTAGTAATCAATATGACTTTATTTTGTTTGTACAGATCTGAAGAGAAATGATTACACACCTGACAAGATCATATTTCCTCAGGATGATTCCCCTGAATTGACAATTCAGCCTGGAAGCTGCACCAAAGAATCTGATTCAGCTCATTCTATTCGTCTGATGCTCTAATGATGTGACCAAATCAGTGGCTTCATCCAAACTTCATGAAGTGTCACAAAGTTGTCACTTATCTTTCCTTTGCTACTTAAAAGAAAGATATGTAAAAACAAGCATTGCTGTCTTAAGTCAAATTTTGGCCGGTTCATAATTTAAGGACCTAACAACTTGTGATAACCATCTACAGAGAACAGCTTGGTGGCTCATCATTTTAAAGGTTGAATAATGACAAGTATTTAAGATGTTTTTAAAGGGGCTTTTTAGCAGAAGGTATTGTGTTTTTTGGTTGGGTGGGGTTTTTTGTTTGTTTTGTTTAGAGGAGGAGTTTCTCTCTGTAGTCCTGTGGTGTGCAATATGCCTTCAACCAAAAAGGGTTTTGGTAGTTGATGTCTTAAGGTGAAGCATTTGTCTGTTTGGCAGGCATCTTACTGTCAACCAGCAAAAGACAAGAAAGCACCTACCTCTGTAGTGCCAGAATATTCTTCGAGCATTTTTGGAAGCGTTCCACTAATGTTTTCTCACCAGGTGTCTTTTAATCTGGCCTTTTAAAGAGGACAGAGCCAAATAAGGTGTGTGTATGTCAGTAGGCCGAGGCTGAAGGTAGGAACTTGATCTGTTGCAGTGGAGAGAGAGTGTCCCCTGAATCAGGATTCAGCTTCAAGGCTGGAAAGCTCTTTTTGTTTTGTTTCGTGGTGGTTTGTTTTGTTTTTGTGGAATAGAGCCCTAATTGTGCATAATGAAATTTCTAGTTTTATACATTTCAATTTTATCAAGTCACCATCAACTAGTAACGAAGCCATGATAGACTGGTATAATGATATTTAATAGAAGAAATAGTGTGTACTGGTCCAAATAAGTTGCCTTGTAAGAACACAAGTTGGAAGTGCTTTCCCTCGTGTGTAGTGACTGCTTCAGAAGTTATGCCTTCCAAAGATCCTGTAAAACCAGTATATCAAAACCCGAATGTACACATAACTTTTAAATGTATTTAAAATTGTGTAGAAAACATCTTTAATGTTATGTTATTTGTGGTACTTATTTAAGAGAGACTAGGGTTGGATTAGCATTATGTAAAGTATGGGAGATTGCAATGCACCTTCATGCCAATAAAATGTAATTTAACTGTCCCAAATATTGTTGAGCATTCAGCAAGAAAAACTCTTGTCCAACTGAAGTTTCATGCTGCGATTTTTTTTTTTTGTTACATAGGTACTAATTTGTAATTTTTAATTAAAAGGGCAGTATATAGCTCTATAAATTTTTTTATTCCGTAGTGTATCTTATAGATACAGACCTAAGGCACGAACACAATAGCTGTTTAAATGGTGTTTTATGTTTGACGGGGAAAGGTAAAATGTTATAAGGATATAATACTGTATACATTTTGTATATCATTAAATCTTTAAAGAATCTAAAATAAATTTATTCTTGTTTACAGACTCCTGCTGTCCTTCTTAGTCTGAAAGGTTATTTGAGTGAATTTAAGTAACTGTGCAGAAAAGTAGGATTTGCCATGCTGGATCAAAGCAGTTGTCCACCTTTAAGGTATCTCAGCTTTGGCTAACTCCAGAAACTGGGGGAGGTGGTGTGTGAAGGGAACTGAAAACTCGTAGTAGACAAACATCTATGGTGGGGTTAATGAGTAAATGAGAACAAAGTAACTTAAAACTCTTTATGATGTTTGGTTTTAACTGGGAGCTGCTTCGTGGGTGCCTGATTGCATCCCCTTTATTCAAGAGGTGCTTACAGCTTTCTAATGCTATATCCTTAGCCTAGTAACAACAGTTAATGTGTGAGGCTGGCTCTTCAAATTGGGAAGGATTTCTAGAACAGCCTCTAGAGGAGTGTTGTGAAAATGGAAATAGAAGAATTTTGGGAAAATTTTAAGTAAAAGTTAGGAGACTTTTTGTTTCCTGACAAATACTTAATGGAACATGGTTAATTTTTACAACCATGGTACCTGTCTTCAGTAGTTTTGCCTGTGACTTGTTTAAGAGCATCAACAGGTATGACTTCTGTGTGATGAGTGTGTGACAGTGGGCAGTGCTCCCTCTGCTCAGGGCTGCAGTGACCAAGACCTGAAGCCTTTCCAGCATCAAAAGGCACAAAGAGGGCTGGGAAATGTGTGTAAGACTGGGAGTGGTTAACACTCTACATATTTCCATACATCTTTCTGGCATGAGTGCTGAGCTTACCCTGTGAGGCTTGCAGCTGGAGTTCACACAAGAAGCCTATGTCTAAATTGAGTGGGGCTGAAATGACAACTTCTACAAATTATTTTCTCCACATTTGTGGAAGAAAAAAACCCATAAATGTAAGTATCTCTTGGGGAAGGCACTGGGACGGTGAGGTGGCAAGAAAAAAAACAGTTGGTTTGAAGAAGCAGCCTAATTTTGTCAGAATAATACCATGTCTTATTGATGTCAGGCTGTAGGAACCTGAAGGTTGCCCCATGTAATTTAATTTGGTTGAGAACATTTAAGTGTCACTCCTCTGCTGAAACCTCATCACTCTTAAAGTGCTCTATGAATAGAGCAACTGTGGCCCTTGGCTTTTAAATTTCCTTCAGATTACTGAAGAGGGGGAAATAAAAGCATCATTGGAATTTCTGTTAACTCTCCAGAACCAAAATAATAGTTTTTAACCTTCTCTAACCTTCTGATTATTTTTAGTAAAAATCTGAAGCATTTCAGATTCCCACTATAAAGGGTATTTAAGAAATACCTCTCATAAAGGGAAATAGGTAAGCTACATTGTTTTCCTTGACACAGGTAGTTTTGGTTCCCTAACATCATCCTGAGGATATTTTCATTAGAAGAAAAAACATTATGTATCAGATTGAGCTGAGCATTATGTATTTGTAGACTAGTGTTGGTTGCTTATGTAAATTCAGTTTTAAAATGCACCTTAATTTTCTCCACCATCAGTATTTTTGTGCAAAATCTTGAATACATGAGTGTTCTGATCTAACCTTTTAATTAATCCAGCAAATTCAGCATTGTTGATTGCAGTGTTTAAGTGCTGAAACTTCAGAGAAAACCAATCCCAAATACGTGGTGGCAAAATATGCAAAGGTGAGTGTCCTGGGGAGCTGGTTTCCCAGCTGCTGCTCAGCAGCTGTGTGATTTGGAAGAGGAGGGGTTTGGCTTTTATGCCTCTGGCTGTGATTTCCTTCACTTCCTTTGTGATTCTGTCTCATTTAATGCCACCACTGCCAAGAATTTTGAAGGGGCAAGAGGTGGTCCCTAGAAACTCTTTTAGTAGTTCATGTTGATGTTACCAAAAGATCATTAGGAACATTTTTTTATAAATATAACAGTGCTTCTGAAAAGACTTGTGATGATTTACGCTTTTCCTTGCATGTAATCAATTTTGTGGTGAGAGCAATGGTAAGTTAGTTCTCAGCCCTTCCACTTGAAGCAGGTAGCACCAATGTGGATTTCTTGTATCATGTTATGGTACAATAGTGAATCCAGGTCTGGATTTGGATTCCACAAAAGGTAGGAATAAGCAAATGCTTTTTTGCCTTCTTGAATGATGAATGTTAGAGTTGCAGATTTTAATGCTAAGAGTAAAATTCAGCAGTATGGATTTCTAGTCTTCTAAAAACACTGACAATATGTGTAACAATTTCAGTTGATATATGGTTCTCATACCAGTCTCGTTCTACCTACATGACAGCTATTATAGATTTGATTTAACTTACTGCTTCCCAATAATGGTTTCAAAAAGTGCTTTTTAATGCTGCCATCAGCCTGTCTATGAGGTAATGGTTGCTGGGAAGACAAAGTCTAAGTTTATATTACTGGTTATCTTTCTTTGGAGGGATATTTACAGCTGCATGACAGGTAACCCAGTGACCCAAAGCCAGAAAGGCTTGTTAGCCCTTTACCCTAATAAAATGTGAAGTTGTACATTGCATTGTGCTGAAAGTGCACCCTGTATTCCAAACTAGGAATTGTTCCAAACTGTGACTGTTTTTGTCAAAAAGAAGATTAAATCAGGAAAATATGGAGTGTCATTCCATTGAATACAATTACTAAATTACAATAAAGTAAAATTAATTCCGCACTGTTCTTGTCCTTTCTTGATATTTTCTCCGGTATTGTAACTGTCCTAAAACCTACTTGAATTTTATTTCTGCATTAGTGTACCTTGTTGTAAGTTCATTCATACTTTTTCCTGCCTCAGAGGGCTGCAGGAGTAAGCAAGGGGCCTAGGAATCGTGGAAGCATTGGAGATGCTCTCATAGAAAGGAGAATGAAGGCTCCATCAGAACAGGCTCTATGAGAACTTGCTAAAGGTTGGAAGACTGATGGCAGAGGCAGCAGATAAACTGTCCAAAGAGCACTGGGAGAGACCCTCTGCTAGAAGCTTAGAAAGTAAGATCATTAGGGATTTTTTTAATGGCTTCCTGAGCCTCTTCCGTCGATACTTGTTACTTCCCCAATTGGATGTTAAATAGGGAAAACCAGCTGCTTTTTAGTGGTGTATAAAATTCCAAGATCAACTGCACTGTTTCATTAGCTAATTACAAAGGCACTTCTCTGCCACTACCTTTTTTTTTTTCTCAGGAGAATGTTCTAAACACCACTTTAGCCATTTCTGCCCAACCAGCAGAGCATGGCCATAATAAACAGCAATAAAAGCTCAAGCAAACATGAATAAACATGGGCCAGGCTGAAATTCTGGAGATTCCTGATGGTTCCCAAGGTTCCTGATGGAACAGAATGGCATCACAAAGCACTGGGTTGAGGGGAGCCTGGGCCCAAGCAGTCATGCCATGAAACTGGGTAGAAGAGGTGATTCCATAGCCAACGGTTTCAACATGTTTTCTCCAAGTTGGTGGTTCTTGGAGATGGCTCTAAAACATGGAATTGACTATTTATTCAGGAGGCTGGTCTATAGGTAGAGCTGTTTGGAAGTGTTGGGTGTTTTGTCAGTGAAATTTGAAAGGAAGTGGGTTTGTAGTTGTTTTGTAGCTATTAGGTGATAGAAAATGGCTGTCAGCCTGGGAGACCTCCAGAAAAGGGAACTTGAGCACATGGTGTTGTACTGAAGGGAAAGAAATGGGTTTTCTTCTACAAAGATTAGTTGAGGTTTAAGGATTTTCTCTCCTTCTACTTGAGACTAAAATAGTGGCTTTTAAAGGTTCAAGAAAGGCAACATCAGCCAGCACATCTGGGTTGTGTAGGGTCTGTGTTCAGGCTGCTCTGCCTCATTGGGGATGGGGATTGTTTGGTCCAGGGCAGATGTCTGCAACCAGAAAACAAACCTACTCAGATTTTTTTAATGTGAAATAAGAAACAGTTTATGGAAAAGGTCTAAAGAGCAACCTGTTTGTAATAGCTTCTAAACTGCAACCTGTGGTTTTAGAGAATAAACCACTAAGGAAATGAGATATAATACACCTTATGTAGGAAGAAATGCATAATAGAGTTATTTACAGCTGGTTAAAGTTTTTGAGAAACTGTAGAATTCTAGGAATCACTCTAAAAACACAGATGTTTAAAAAATACCTTTTAATGGTGTGTCTCACCATATTGGGAAGAGCTTAGCACGGGAGTCTTTACCACTGTATTACCTTGATGAAAGGAAATGTGAAAGATGCAGAGACAGCAGG